ACTATACTTCTGGAAGAATCAAAGCAACTTATGAGATCAAATACTTTCTCCTTGAGACATTTCAAATCTGTATTCGCATGATAAATTGACCTACTAAAAATTAGGAGTCTTAGTTTCCAATTGATTATTTATAGCATATGTTTAAACAATAAAATAGTAGCCAAAATGCTTCCTCACAAGTGATATCAGCTCAAAGCTTGGGGACAGTAATAAAGGATCTCTTCTCACAAAAAAGGCTAATTTTGAGATTAACATATATTATTAGAAAATGATGGTTTGTGTCATTATGCCACATTTCCCCAACTTGAAAAGGCCTAGTAGACAGCATGATACCAAACAACATATTGGAACCCTCTCTCCAGTTCATCTGATCGAGTAAATGAACTTAGATTTCCTAACCGCAGTATCTAGTATTGTCTTTCTCATTTATTATACCTTTTGTCCTTGTTCCAGGTTCTTCCTGATGTATTTGATTAACAAAGATGAAACAGAGCACACGGGTCAGGTGAGAAGAATCATGCCCCTGGGTTACAGCTTCCTTTTCCTAAGACTCGAGAATCAGTAGAGCATAAGCTCTCTGAAACAGAGACGACCCCACCAGTCTCTCACGTGCATTTTCCCACTGCTTGCTGCATTATTCCACCATCTCTTTGTGACCGAAGAAGCCAAAATTCTAAGGCAACTCCCCAGTCTATTCCAAAAGACCTCCTAGTTATTCTTCCCAACAAACGCTGACATTTTCTAAACCTTTAAGGTTACCACTTCAAAGCAGAATAACTGGAGGTGGGGAGAACGTTACAGAGAAAAAGACAATAAGAAGCCAAGTGGGAGGCAGTAACAAAGAGCAGGAGACTCAGTAAAATGCTATGAGTGTATGAATGACAGTATGTGTGAAAAGGGACTCTGTGACTAAGTATGAAAAGGAGGAAGAGGCAGGCTATCAAATATTCAAACATCATTGGAGTTGTAGGAAAACGTTACAGCTCAAACCTTTGAGGGAGAGGTACTTGGCTTCCTTTCACATCTGGCTTTAGCTCTCCAGGCATCTGCCTAAGCCAGCACTCCATGTCCCCTCCTCATACATTCCTCCACCAATTACAAATGACACGGAATCAGCCTACTAATAAAACTTTTAAGTATTTTTTGTGGCGATCATTGAGTTGGGGGGCCGGGGGGTGGGAAGAAATGACTTCTTGCTCCCAAAATAGGGTGGGAATAGAGCAAGAAAGAACATGCCAGTTGGGCCTGCTATAAATCCACACCCATATTCCTACAGGGAGACACAGAGCAAAAACAAACTGGGTTTTAGCTTACTGTGATTTAAAAAGAAGTTTACCCTTTTCCCCATTCTTTCAGGAATCTTATGTCTGGAAGATGTACCAGGAAAGGTGTTGGGATTTCTTCCCAGCTGGTGACTGCTTTCGGAAACAATATGAGGATCAGCTCAGCTAAATATGAATGAAAGAAACTCCACAATTCTGGACTGTCAACTTGCAGTGAAATCAAAAACCCTTCTTTTATACTTCTGCAACATTTTTGAAAGGTGACATTTTCTAAATGCTTCCCTTTACAACAAGAAAGTGTTGGTTAAAACTCTGATATTTTTAAATTGATTGGGCTTTTTGTGCCTAATGGACAGACCCTGTGGGCGATATCCTGTCAAAATGTTCAGAGAGAAATAGAGATGACAAAGGGTAGTCAAGGACTCTCTAGCCCAATGCCTGCAAGGTTTTCAGTTCTAACGTAACCTGTTTGTCGGGATAGCACCACTGAGGAAAGGACTCGAAATATGAAGTCTTGGATGCATAATATATGAAATTCTAAACACTTGACTGTCACATGACAGTATCCACTAGTGACTCATGGTCTGAACTACAAAAAAAACAAAAATCATTGTAACTGCAGTCTAATTTTTTCCCATGGTACTTGCTAGTGAATGTATCCAGACTCACCTTGAAAAGCTTTAAGCAGTTAAAGAAATAGAAAAAACAAACCAACACTTTGTCGACACTGAAATATCGATTAAGTGCCTTAAAAACCTCTTTAGATATAGCTATGCAAGTTTTTTATGTTCCCGATGGACAGGTTCAATTAGTTGTGTTGATCTTTTGTCTTACTTTAAGAAACTGCACTTGAAGGTTATTAATACAATTATTTTTTTCAGTAACAGCTTGTTAACTGCTGTTATTAGAAGAAAAGTACTGTACTGAAAAGTCGAAGAAAAATCTCAGTCTTATGCCAAATTGAGTAATGCTTTACGGTCCCTTGTAAGTAGTAGAGCTGCTATGTTTAGGTGACTCTCCTTAACTAAAATGAAGTGCCCACTGCAATAAAGTAATACATACATATCCACCCATGGTCTGGCCTCTTGTAATGCACCGCTTCTGGATGAGTCTACAACTGCACTGTGGCTGCTGCGAAAAGGGTCATGAGACAAGAAAGGGAAAAAACTCCGTAGGCCAGCCTTTGTTTATTGTGGCCATATGCATGCCTGTTGCTGGCTCCTGTTCTCTGTATCAGCAGCACTTGCTCTGCTGCTGTGAACAGAAAGGAAGGAGGCTGGAAATGAGCGTCATAACATCCCCTGCCCTAGAGGTTACAAGGCCAGAGAACAAATGCAACAAGCCTCTTAAATGTACTATTTGGATGCAGTCAAACATAGAGGTAGCTCTCTGCGGTAAGCAGGATGGAGCACACTGGCTTGGGGCATGCTTGTCAATCAGCAGTTCTTAGAGGACCGTGGACCCGCCCTTACCCTTAAGAGGAAACCAACATTCGCTGCAGGCACTTTTTTCCTCTTTTTTTTTTTGTTAGGAAATCATGCTGTCCAACCAATCTTCAAGTTCTTCCTCGGTAACATTTTTGGATGTACTTGGTTGCTCCGATTCCATGTTCTTTTCTTCCATCACAGATGCTTTCGCGAGAACTGGGGAAATAAAAGCAACGTAAACTACTTCACATTAGTCCCAAAATTAAGGATTCAAGTCTCCCTGGAGTTTGTTCCATGATATAATTCTTCCATAATTATTACTTTGCTTACAACAAGGGGAAATATTCTATTGTTGCTACTCCTTAAGAAGATACAATAATATCTAAACAGATTAATAAATTGGGTGGAAATTTGCTCTTCTGTTTCTTCTGAAGTTGAATTTCATAGTTAACTAGTTTTTCTTAAAGACAAACAACTCCATGTTCTTTTTACTAGTGTAGCAATCCTGGAAAGTCACTAAAGGTTCTCGAATGCAGCATATGGCCGGGGCCGTGGCCCTGGGCCTCTCCCTAGCAGATGGACCCCAATGTCACGGAACATGCACAAATGAGGAAGCGGTGCTCTTTTGTAAAAAAGCACGAGGTAGGAAGAGCTGGTTAACTGGCCTGTTCAGGCTCCTGCAGCACAGCTGAGGGCTACAAGCATTTTAATGCTTTTATAGCACAAGTTCAACTCGCAGCCCCAGGTTTAATATTGCAATCAGGCAGGCAGCAGCTCCAGAAGCCCGGTGTATCGAGTGAGATTTGGAATGTTGTCAGAAAGGTCAGCTCAGGGGGGCAAGCAGAGACGTGAGCACAGAAATAGATGTCAGTAGATAATGTGAGATCGATGGCAGACACCCACGGAAACGTGTACGGCTGTGACGCGGGTGAGGCTGATCTCACAAAAACACCAGAGTCAAGAAGACGGATGGGGAATAAAATGAACGCCATACCTTCTTCTTCTTGGGCCACCTCCCCATCTTTCTTGGATTCCAGGTCCTGCGGTGTCTGGTCTGGTAAGATGTTATCTGCCGCTTTGACGGGCGCATCTAAATTAAGCAGCAGATCTAATTCCTCTTCCAGGTGGTCTGCTGCTGACTGCAGTGGGGAAGTGGGTTTCTGAGAACTCGCTGAAGGACCCTGACTTGGGCTGGCTTTACCCAGGTCCATGGGACAGCCAGCAGCAGCAGACTTCAGCGTGGAGATGGACCCCCTTCCTCCAGGCCCCAAGGGCCCTTTGAACGGCTTCCCTAGTCCCGTGCCTTCATCATTTCTCTTTGGTTTCACCTGAGGAACCTCTAAAGGCAGGGCACTCTGAAAGAGAAGCAGAATAGCTGGGTTAAAAATAGGAGTCCTACCGTATTTGCTTAAGCAGAAATTAAAGCTTAGGAAACCATCAAACCTGGTGATGTAGAGCACTCAATACAGACAGGATGTTTACAAAGGGTCTCCAGTTTGGGGTCGGCCCTGATTTGGGGTAAATGTGGGAGACCTCACTGAAACGTAATAGGGCTGCGCCTCCCACTCTACCCATCTCAGTTGTGTGCTAACTCAGAGTTGAGATCAAAAGGGCTGTGTCTTCCATCAGGCCTGAGAACTGAGAGCACCATCGGTCTATCTGAATGTACACTTAAATCTGGGATGAGGCTTACACATCTGTACAAGACACCGGGAAGTAACTAGAAGATCTGTTCACTGTACCTAAAGCATGAATACAAAGGTGAGGGGACAATTCAAGAAGAAAAGAAAGGATGTCTCTCTGTAACATTATTTGGGTAAAAAAATTCCAGACACAGAAGAAAACACACTATTGGATTTACATGTGTAAAAAGGCAAAAATAGGCAAAACTGATTCTTACTATTAGAAGTCAGGATAGTGGTCTTAGGGAAATAGTGACTCGGGAAAGGGGTGACTTCAGGGGTGCTCAAATACTTACACATGCACTTTTCTATATAATAAAAGTATAAAACTCCCCAGGTGATTGTAATGTAGAGCCAAGGCTGAGAACCACTGTCTGGAGGGAGGGTTGGGGTGACCTGCATGGCATCAGAGTGGACAGGCTCAGGGTCCAGTTCTACTGGAGGCATTGGCCCCTATTTTACAGTTAAGCATCTTGAGCAGATGCAGTTTGCTAGTGACTCTTCAGGGCTTTTAAGACAGTATGGCTTTACACACACACTTAAATATTCATCCATCATTGTTAGTGTGCAGGGCAAAGCTAGGATGTGGCCCTCTATGTTCATCTCAGAATCATTTAGGTTCCAGATGTCTAGCATTGTTTTTGTTTTGTTTTTTGCCTCGCAGGGGCTTCTAATGTACACACACAGTTTGAGAATCACTGCTCTACCTCATGGGGGCGGGGCGGATTTTAAAACTGTTTAGTCAGGTTTTCAAAGCTACTGCAATTATTGTATACCTTTAAGGCCTGCCACTGACACAACATCCTGCATTTTCAAGCGTTCACAACACTGCCTGTTTCTCCCCTGAGTCCTTCATCTCAGTGGTTCCCTGGAGGTGTTCTATCAAAACAAGCACGTCACAGCCTTGAACATCTCTGGACGCCCACCAGGAAAAGAAGCACTGTCCCAATCCCTAAGACAGTCCCAAACACCTACAGAAGCCCCAGGGCGATTTCCCATCGGAGACAAAGGCCATGTTCTCTACTTCTCTGTCCTGTCCCTACCTGTCCTCCAGCCCTGAATTCTACTTGCTGCCCTGAATCCGAGACTAGAAAGTGCAGCAGAAACAAGTGGGTGGGTAACCAATTCCTGGCTGTGCCCAAACTTAGCATCACATTCAACTTCAGAACGATGTTGATCATTTTAGTTGCTAGGATTCTATTTAAAATAGTACTGCCCAGGATTTCACTTTTCAAAAAAAATTCAATCTAGCCACAATTACATTTTAAGTTCCTTGTGGTACAGTCCTTGGGCCTCCCCAGTCTATTCATCAATTGCCATCTTCTACTATCTCCCAAATTCTATTTCTAGCCCTTAATTCTGAACTATAAATTTCTGTATTCATTTGACTAATATTTTCACTTTGATATCTCAGAGGCACAAATCCACAATGTCCAAACCTCACCCTTCCTAATGCTACCTGCCACTGAGTTGCACAAACGGGAAAAACCTAGAATAATTCTTTGCCTGCTCTCTCTCCATTTCCAGTCTTTCACCAGGTCCTGTTCATTTTTCTTTCGAAGTACCTCCTGGGAGAGTCCGGTGCTCTACCACCATCACCCTAGTCCAGGCTGCAGTGTTACTCACCTGAGCTTGTGCAACAGCCTCCTAATTTGCTTCCCCTCATCTTACTCTCCTCTTGCATGTGCAGATTTACCAAGAAACACACCCATCCAACCCCACAGCCCATTCCACAGCCAGCATGCTGGTACTGCTGTCATTATAGTAGGACTGTCATTAACGCAGATCTGATTTGGTCACTCTTCTTTAAATTCCAGCTCATGCTCTTACACTTTGCATGTCAGCGTATCTGTCATTTCTTCAGGAAAGCCATTCCGATCACACCGAAGTAGACCAGGTTCACTAGTACATGTTCTCATGTGCACGGTCCTTCTGCATAGGAGTCATCCCAGTTTGTACATTTGTATGAGAATGTGACGTGACCCATCTTTCCCAATAGATTAAGCCCAGAAGGGCAGGGACCATGCCCGTCTCAACCACTGCATCCTCAGTGCCTAAGATAAATACTTGGAGGAAAACACCAGCCAGAGTTTATACTCTTACATTCCATTTGATTCCTCTACATCTAATTCTTTAAAATGTTTCAAATATAAAATGTAAAAAAAACAAAAAACTTTCAAAAATGGTTTCCTACTCCCCTAAAACTTGACAAAATGCTACCTGGTACAAAATCTTCAGCGTCAGGAAAGGAAGAGCTGAGTCTGAGACATCCTGCAAAGGGTTTTTTTTTCCCCACTCTTTTTCTTCTCCTGCCCTAATCCACACCAGCTTGAAGATGCCATCAGGGTTTTTACCTGGACCAACTCGGCAGCGACATTGAGTCGGAGTGAGAGAGGCAGTTCTTGAAGGGCTTGAACCAATGACTCACAGTCCACGTAAAATGCTGAATTCTATAATAAAATAAATAAATAAATAAATAGATAGATAGATAGATACATATACATACGATCTACATATCGGGTGATAATTATGTATGTTCTTTCAGAGTAAAAGCAGAAGACTATAGAAAGTAACTAAATCATCCCCTGCAGTTATTTTTAGCTGGGAGTAAGATCATAAATCACACCTGATATGGTTATAATTTCTATCATCTCCGCATTAAGATGAGCAGAACCAAAACCACCTTCCTGAGCTACAGCTCACGCTCTCAGAGCAGCAGCAGGGAAGTGGTCACCCCCTCATCATCAAGAATGCACAGTAACCGGGCCAGCCGAGTGGTGTGATGGTTAAGAACTGGCTTGGGACGCCAGAGGGCCCCGGTTCAGATCCCACATATGAGGGCCAGTGACACTGCCCTCTACAGCTAAGATGCTGAACAACAGCTCAACCTGGAGCTGGGCTGCCGTGAGACGCCGGCGACGGCGTAGGCTGCAGCCCCTGTGGCAGTGGGTTGCCATGGGCTACCGTGTGTAGCCAGCAGCCAGGGTGAGCGGCCAGCAGCCGCTTTGAGCGGCCGTCCAGAAGCCGGCGACTGATCTGCCTCACCTGGGAAGAAAGCAATGATGGTGCCAACTTGGGCCAGTGAAGCAACATCCTCCACAACTAGACTGAAGAACAAAACGACAGCAACTTGTCTGTTCCCCTTCCACCAATTCCCCAGCACTGTTCCCATCCCCCCAATTCCCCAATAAAAATCTTTAAAAAAAAAGAATGCACAGTAACCTGGAAACTGGACCCCCAAAACCAAAAACCAAAAGAAGAACATGCATGCAGTGAAACCTAAGTGGACACCTCCCTCACACTGAGATGCTGGCCCCGGGGAGAGATCGGAAGAGCCTTCTGGGCAGTGGGGTGGGGCCGAGAGGCACGGCCACAGGAGCCCGCAAGGTACACACGAGCACATGCTCCTCTTCCAGCCAGAAAGCAGAGGACGGGTGGACACTTACCCTCCAGCCGGCAGCACTCTGGGGCCAACACTGAAAGCTCCCTTGTGACTCATTTCCCGTTCGCAGAATCAAGTCATATCCATGCAATGACCTCACAAACTGACAGCATTTGAGAAAACATTCTAGATTATCACATGGCTTAATAATAGTATAAGAGCTGCTTCTAGGTGCCCTGGACATCCAAGAGAAGGAAAAAACTAAAAGGTGGTCACAACGAGCTCCAATTAGAGGCAAACGCCACTGACCACCTCATTTACCAAGGACGGTCACAAGCCCAGCTAGAACCAGGTCTTAGTCTATAATCGCTGACTTCAAATGAGAAGAAAACCCAGGGGTCATCGCATCTAATCTTAATTCCCCAGCAGGAATGTCTTGGGTAGATGAGTTTATGACTCGAAGCAGAGAGTCAGTCATTCCTGGTGCACTTGAGAAGAGCCTCGAAACTCAATTCAGACCCTATCTAACCCTTCTCCCCACAAGAGTAGTACATGGGGAACAAAAGAAACAATGTGGCTTTTCAACTGCCTTTCTGAAATTTTCCAGAGATAGCTAGCTCTTAGAGTAGCAATGCTGGCAGCACCAGATGTGGCCCCTTGCCCTAGAAAAAAGGATCTTCCATCTAAAAACATACAGTATGTAGGGAGCAGGATGGAGGGAAACAAAGACCTGATAAGAAAGTGGGAAATTCACCAGGTGTCCGGGCCTTTGCTGAGTCCTTTCCTCAGCACCTCACATGCTGTGATCAAGATCAACAGGTCTAAGAAGTTTTTGTTTTCGAGTTTGGAGAAACCCTCTCAACCCCTAAAAGGTGTGATCCTGAATACTTAACACACGGGTGAGTTGCCACCTCACAAACCACAATAGAAATCCCACCCTTACCACGGCCAAGGTAAGTCTGCAAAGTCGCACATGTAGACCCCTTCTTTTAGCCTGTAAATGAGAGAGAACTTCCCCCTGTGACGCCTGCAGCCATGCACCCATTGCTCTCTGGAGATGGACTGTTGACACATGCTGGGGTCTGGCTAAGTGTCCAAACTTCCTCTGCCCCTTTTTGCATCATATGCAACGTGACTACAAGGTACATCCTAAACAATGAAAAGTTTGTGAGACCGCACAAAGATACGGGGAATGGCCAGGCTGCGCTTCTGAGCCATCTTCTAAATGACAGCCATTCGGCTGCGTCTGCGGCTTCAATGTCCCCTTGCCCCACATTTCTAATTCCCATCCATCACCCAAGGTTCGGCTGACATTGCACCACCTCCACGATGCCGGCAAGACACTTCAAGCCACCATGGTGATGGCTCCTCGTCTCCTTACAGGAGTCCCAGAGCCTAGAACCTGCCACCAAATGCCACTTTTCAAGAAGGCTTTGCTTTTTTCGTCACCAGTTTGCCCCCTAAAGGGCTAAAGCTGAAGGCCTTAAATATAAAGTGAGCCGAAGTGAACTGCTTATAATAATTAGTAACGGGCGAATTTCAAAATGGGTTTAATTGGAATAATAACCATGAATTAGCTTTTTGCTACATGTTTTAAAATAATCAATAGGTTGCTTTTGCCTGGAGAGCCCAGTCCCCATATCCACCTGGCCAACACTGTGATGGTCACTCACGGCCGGAGGACGCAGCCTGGGCTGCACCACCCGGACGCCCCGGTGCTCTCTCTGTACACTCTGAGGCTGGCAGACGGAAGCCAGCCTTGACTGTTGGAACAAAGTCCCTCCACCCAACTTCTCTGACATCAGAGTGCACAGAACTCTGGGTAGTGAGAATCGGCAATCCGGAAGGTTCCTCTCTGTCCAGGAACCTAATTAGACTCTGAGTCTCAGTGTCTGTGTAAAGGTACACTATTTGGTGAGAAAAGAACCTGCTAGAAACTCCACTTTGCAGCTAAAAAAATGGAGCCTTCAATCAGACCATTACTCCTTCTCAGTCTCAGTCACAGTCACTGTCTGTATTCACTTGGGACCCCGGGGCCACTCAAGTACACTTTATGGAAGTGCTCAAATCAGGCAACACTTTGGAAAAAGCTGGGAAGCTTTTCAACATACAGATTCTCAGGCCTCACTCAGAACTGGACTCTTGGGGGTGGGTCTGGGAGTCTATACCTTTAGAAGCCAGGCATTCAGGAACTACTGTATCTCGCCCAGCACTCGGTAGTTGCTCAAGGAAGCTTGACTGAATAAAAAATCACTATAGCAACAAAAGTGAAAAATGGCATGAAAAAAGTTTCAGGTAATTGAAAAAAATAATACATCTATTTTTTTACCCAAAGAAGTTCTCCCACCCTTTCCCCCTCATATGGCCCCACACGGTCCAAAGGAAAGATGTGAAAATTTCACTCATGAATCGAAGGGACCAACTCCCCTATAGTAACATGAACCAACATGGTTAAAGCAGAGGCCCTGTCACACTGGGGCCCCTTTTACCCTGCATGTAAACCACAAAGAAACAAAGGCAAATCAAAGCAATGGTTTGGGGTCGCCTCCGGTCAGGATGCCCTTTGAGGACCTATCACATCCCACTGTCAAACTCCTATTCCTACTTTTTCCTCTCTCTTTATTGTCTTGTGCCACTGGTTGCAATGGGGAGAGGAGAGAGCATAAGGGATATTATATATTTATATATGATATACAAGTGTATACACACACACACAGTGTATGCATATAAATTCCTGTCTTTTTCTCTCTCAAGTGAAAAGAGAGAGGAATTAAGTGGGACAGGGAGCCGTTCTGATGGAGAAATGATGAACTCAGTGTTAGACGTATCCTACCAGTACCTCACTCAGAATGTTCAAAATCAAACGTGCCTTCTTTCCACTCTTCTTTTGCTCCATCAGTGGCACCACTGCTCACCTAGTCATCAAGCTAGAAAGCTTAGCACCACTACAAATCTTTCTCGGGCCGGCCAGGTGGCGCGGTTGATTAGAGCACAAGCTCTGAGCAACAGCGTCACTGGTTCGATTCCCACATAGGCCAGTGAGCTGCGCCCAAGCTGAGCTGCCCTGAGCTGCCAACAGGCGGCTGGATGGCCCTGTTGGTTAGAGTGCATGCTCCTAACAACAAGGTTGCTGGTTGATTCCCACATGGGATGGTGGGCCGCGCAACCCCACAACTAGATTGAAAAGGGTGATTTGACTTGGACTGAGCTGTGCCTTCCACAACTAAGATTGAAGGACAACAACTTGACTTGGAGCTGATGGGTCCTGGAAAAACACAATGTTCTCCTTCCCCAATTCCCCAATGAAATCTTTAAAAAAAAAAAAATCTTTCTTGTCCTCGTGTCTCATATCCGGTCAGTGACACACGCTACCTCGTCCTCCGCTGAAGTTCCATCTATCCGCAACCCCTTTTCTACCCTCACTGCCCCATGCTGTCAGGCCCCCGACTCTTCCCAACAGAATATCCTCCCTGCCTCCAACCTCTCATCTATCAGTCCCTCCTTCCCAATATTGCTGATGTCAAATCTAGCCACTTCCATTTTTTGGCTAAACAAAACTCCTTTTAAATAATAGTAGTCATAAGAGCTAGTTTTGACTGTTTCCTATGTGTCAGGAACTGCACTAAAGGGCTTTTATTTATTGTCAAATGTGATCCTCATTACAACTCCAAGTTTATATTTTACTGTTAATTCCATTTTACAAATGAGAAAACAAGAAAACAAGTTTGCCCAACTTGTTGAACCAGGACTCACACTCGGGTCATCTTTCCAAAGTCTGCTCTCGCCCACAGGAGAAAATAAACACCAAACTGCTGGTACTAGCTGGCCCAGAGCAAAGCCTGAAGCCTCCCCCTCAGGGAACACAACACCCCAGCCACACTCCCCAGCTGAGCACAGCCTGGTCCTTCAGATCTCCTCATTGTCCTCCCAGGACAGGACCTACCAGAATCCTACTCATCCACAAAAGCCTGTTCCAATTTTCTTTTCCATGGCACTGCTGTCAATCTCTTCCAGCCCATAATAGCTGTCTCCCACAGAATTATGTTAATTCATTTATTAAACCACTTATTGCATTCTTTTCATTTATTATATAAATATTTACTGATCATCTACTATATGTCAACCACTGTGGATAAGGGGCCTTGTGTGTTGAACAAACATGGTCTGTCTTATTCATCTTTGAATAAGCTGCAGCTAACGAGATCTCTAGTAAATAACAGGTGCTCAGTGTTTTGATGAATGAAGAACCTTAGAATTATTGAAAATGCTCAGGATAAGTGAAATATTCTGATAGCCAACATGGTTCAAAAAGAGTTGTAATGTAAGTTGTTTGGCTTTTACCATATTCCTCAATGATCTCAGTTTTCAACTTGTTTTCAACTTGTCCTAGAATTGTAAACTGTACCTCGGGCATATGCCCAAATAGACTCAAGCAAAGACAAATATTTTTAATTCCCAGCTTTTTGTATATTATAATCATACTCTTTTGTAAAGTGACAGGCAGTCATTTCACCAGTAACTTCCCCCCTCTGTCTGTATATGTCAACGTCCATCCCAAACAACACCAGCCCAGAGATAAAATGAGCCGCTTACAGTGTGTGCGCTGAGCTGGTAGCAGAATAGCGAGGAGGAGGCCTTACTTTTGGGCTTTGGGTTTGCTGCTCATCCACCTGTCTGCAGCTGTGGGCAGACTGTCTAATCATTGTATCAGGCAGTATGCTATAGCCCTGGAATCGGGGAGCATATGACAAGCCACCAATCATTCTGTGCATTTTAAAGGGGTGAGAATACCTGTCATCTCTCATATGGAAAGGATTAGTGAAGGCCTGCTTGGAAAAGAATCAAAACTCCTTGGGAAGAAAATACGGCATGAATATAAAGCAAGTAAAATATTTAATATTTGGGCTTTATGGACTCATTAAAAGGCTTCTATGGTATTTGTTCTTCTTTTATGGCTTTATTTTCCTAATTCTGGAATAAGAATAGCATATTTTCATTTCATCTGCTTATTTAAAGCTATAAAGTTAAGGATTTTCCCAACACCAAAAGCAGTGTGGGAGAAAAAAAATTAATTTTCAACTCTAAGGGGAGTTTTCACAGAAAGGGAAAAAGAAAGCCAGCCAAATGGCAAAGTCATCCACTCCAAATAATGACTAGAAACTCTCTACCTTGCAACCTAGTCTACATGAGCAATTCACACAGATGGGCAGGTATAAAGATGACCTCCAGCTCCAAGGACCTGTATGATGTAAGCTCCCTGAAAATTTCCTGAACAATTTAGGTAACATGACATTCTATCTGAACAACAACAATATAAAAAGTGTTAGTCTTCGGTCTTGAGCAAAGCCAACCCACATTCAAGACAAACCTTCGTCTCACCTGCTTTGGACACGAAGCTTCGCCATCCCACTCTTTCTCCTCGGCAAACCGGAACTGTGAGAAGGAGTCCCCTGGGAAGAGAAAAACATACAATTTTGTGCAAAAGCCCAAGAAATACAGTCATTTCTCTATATTCCCCTTTTAGAATAAAAGTGTTATTTCTGAAGAACTAACCATCCCAAATTCAGTGGTTTCCTTCAGCAGAAGGTGCTGGCTTCCACATCAATACACAGCGATGTGTGTGTGGTGGGCACCTGAAAAAATGGTTGCCTTCATTGTTTAATTTGACTCTCAATAAGCCACCATCCTACATGCTCCTTGAGAGACAACTAAGCAGTTCAGGCCAGCAGACATGGCCTTCTACCCATAGTTAGCATATTCTCATTTCATCTTCCTAATGTATGTGAGAAAACGTACATTTATGTTTTGGGGGATGGGCACAGCAGAAAAGGACAGAACTGAAGGAAAGCAGTTCTAGACTGATCTACAATATGACAGACTTAAAATAGCTCTTTGAGGTGGGATTACGAACCTCAACCATCACTCCAAAAATCACCTGGTTAGAATGTCAAATGCAAAATAAAACACAAAGAATGTGCACTAGTTAATGTGAATCAGGGTGTACTGCTCTGAGCTCTTAGAATAAAGGAAAATGAACCAGAAAGATCAACATAGACAAGCATGAAAGACGATCCTGTGTAACAAGCTTTGACACATTTTGTAAATGTGTATGTATCTGATTGTTTGCATTAGGAGCAGCTAATTTATAAATGAAATGATTTCTCTGCCTAGCTTTCAGGATTCTCATTAACGCATATCTATTTCCTATTTCTTCAGACTTTCTGCTCCAGAGTCAGCCATTTTCACATTCCAAAGATACTTCTTATTCCACACTATCCTCATTTCTTTTTTTAATTCTTCTCTCTGGTCTGTAAGACCCACACTTCTACCCATTCGTATCCTACTGATATTTCAAGAACTCAGGTACAGCCCACTTCCTCCTCCTGATACCTCTCAGGTAATTTAAGCACAGAATTTGTTCTTTACTTCTAAATTAAAAGAGGGAGAAAAAGAGTGAAGAATTCAAAATTAAAAAGACGAAGATAAATTTAAAGATAAAACCTACACCACCCCCTGCCAATTCCAAAACAGGAGACTCAAGACAACATTAACATTTGACAAGATCAAATTCAAGGCAAACAGGACCAAGAACAACACTCTTTATCATGAAAAAGGGATAAGTCACTGCTCTTAGTCATTGGCAAATCAATTTGAACCCTCAAAAATTATTATAAAAAAATTATAATATAATTGATCTGAATAATATAATTAATAAGGTTTTGTATGTGAATGTAGATAAGTGAATGTGTGCATGTATGTATTGTGATTCTATGTGTGTACTTTATAAATATCTGTGCAATGTTAATTTTTAAAAAGTACTATAGAAAGGCCACAAAAACTTCAATAAATCCTAAAATGTAACAGTCATACAAACTATATTCGCTGGTGATAAACATTTGTAGCACATATTGGCCAAGAGTTAATATCTTACATACAAAGAGCTTTTGCAAATCAACCAGAAGAAAACCATCTAATAGAAAAATAGGAAAAGGGCCAAAATAAGAAATATGAGTAGCTAATATATGTAAAATAAATAATGAATAACTTAAAAATCAACCTGGTAGGTTTTTTTTAAAACTTGACCAAATAGCTGAATGCTTTATTCAGTAATTATTTTTGGCATTCCTGAACTTCTATACTATAAACGACCCAATGATTGCACAGATTACTGTAATATATAATCAGCATAAGATAACAGCAATGCAAATAAGGCATGATATACATATTTATTTTTAATATCTGAATATTCACTTTCTAATACAGGTAAGATTTCAACAATGGCCAAATAGCTTATTGCAAACCAATCCTCTTGCAGAGAACTAGGAACACTAGGCCAAAAAAAAAAAAAATCTATCTGAAGACATTATAGAGTTACCACAGCAGTGAGGACATGAGCGACAAAGGTTCCAGAGAGAAGAAAAGTGCGAGGAGATAAGTCTAACATTTAGAACTGCTTTTCCTTTTGAGGCATTTGTTAATTTCCAAAGACCCTGCTGAGAGACTGAAAAACTAAGCATAAAATAACAACCAGGGCGGTTGTGAAACTGCAGAGAGCTGTGCTAGCCTTGCGGCACTGGGCAGACAAAATGGAGTTCAGGGTCCATGGATTAGGATGCCTCAGACAATCAGGGCTTTCCGGCCGGACCCCTGATGACTACCTTAGAAGTAGGGACCAAGCAGGAACAGGCCAGCCCTCACGAAGTCTGAGGCACGGCTGTGAATCGGCTCAATCTCTGACTCTGCCTACAAGAAGCAAAAGTAAATCCTATTTGGAGGAAAATGACATCATCAATAGCCAAAAATTATCTCTACTATTTTTTATACACCGTGTCCAAAATTCATTAAGAAGCCATCAGGCATATCAAGAGATAAGACCACAATAACAGAAAACTAAGGGGGGAAAAAATTCCACAGAGGTTAAAATATTGGCGTTATCAGACTTGGAGTTTGTGATTCTGCAATGTAACAATTTCAAGACTAGGAAAAACTAAAAATCACAACGACATCCATAAAGCCATCTTTGATTCACACAAAATAAAGTATACACATAAAAAATACAAAGAAAAGAAAAAATGTTTTAAAAAATTAAATACCTAAAACACATTTTGTTTACAGTAACTTCAAAACAACACAATTTAAAAGCCCTAATAAATAAAGCATATAGAGGCCAAATTTGAAAAATAAACTTGTTAAAATGACTACTATGTAATGTCACCCCCCTAATCCTCTCATTGAAGACAAAAGAGTGTTCAGACTAATTGAAATGATGAATCCTAGAATCAAGAGGACAATAAGTTACCAAAATTCTTCTTCCTAAAATATATCAAAACATGTACAAAAATGATGGTGGTATTACCAAATGTGCTACCCCCATATCTTGTACATCAGACATTTGGACATGCAGAAACAATCAGAGACATTCCTTAAATAACACAACACATTAAACAGTACATTCAATTCTGCTCCTGCTGACTCGCTTGCTGAAAGAGTTCCTGGTCCCTCACACTAACATGGTGAATCTGAAGAACTATAGAATGGAAACGAGTCAAGAAGAGTGACAGCCAACTGTTGTTGACATGGAACAAACATGATGAAGTGAAAGTGTCTTAGGAGTCTTATTCTATTCCAGCCACAATGCTGAGGTTGGTGTGCCTGCAATGAAAGCTGAGATACAGGTGATATTAAAACAATTCTCTTATATCTTGAAAGGCAACTGCATTGCTCTAATACCACATTTCTAGAGTCAAAATTCATGACAGATTTTTTTCAATCAACTAATTGTGTGAAGCTGTAAAAATATTAGAAAGTTAGGTTATGGGACGGCAGCAATCTTACGTATGCTTTTGAAAATATTCAGAAAAGAATATTTCAAGTGGTGCACAATGCTTCAATGTCTGGGATTCCTCCATGAAACTCATGATCATCAAACAAATCTCCAAGTGGAGGGGTTAATGAGGAGGTAAGTTTTTACCTAGCTGATTACCTGGTCTTTTCCTAGTTACTATTAGAGAGGACACGTTCAATTGCTAAGATGCAACATTCCCATCAGCAGTCCTCTACTCTGGCAGAGCTAGTGAAACAACCCCTTCTCTACCCACCTGAGCTGAAAGCCCTCATTTATTTAGTATCACAAATGTATAGCATAGCGGCCACAGGAAAAATCTAACAGCAGACAGTGATGAGAAATGAGAATGCCTGCATGTTATCAAAATTAAATCTGGCTACTAAAAACTTTTATAATAAAATTCTAATTGTTTTATTGAAATTTCTGATTTTTTCCTTGTATTCTGGTCATCCATTCTATGACAGTAATATTTTGCTTTAGCTTCAGTTAAATATGATTTAACACTTGCCCATTTGGCCAAAATGTGTATTTGGTGTACCTCAAATATTCAGTTAGTGACATCCTATGAGGCCATTTTAAAAACAAGGTAGCTTTAAAAAATATGTACTGACATGTAAAGATATCCATTACTCAACTGTTACATGAAAAAATTCAAGTTTTAGTACAGTATAAGTAAGATATGTAGATATATATATACACACGCACAAAATACAAATCACAAAAATATTAACATATGCAAGAAATAAGTCAAGATCATTATATACCTATTTTAAAAATGATTATCTCTCAGAGGATAGGATTGGAGACTTTTCCTTTCTGCATAATACATTTTCCAGTTGTATTTTTCTTTGTAAACAAGCACATGTTACTTTCAGAACTGAACCTAACAGAAGGAAATCTAGAAAAAAGCTGGACTCTTGAGGGCAGGGACCTTTTCGGAAGGCATTCAACATAAAACATCCATTGATCTCAAAGCTGGAACCACAGATACCATTCATGCTTAACTCTCACTTTATAGAACAATGAAGAACCTTAGGTCTGGAGAGGCTCAATGGCCTGACCAAGGCCACATAGAGAGTTAATGGCTGGACACCAAGACCTCTTGGTTCCTAGCATTTATTATTATAGCTCTAACTAATAAAGCTCTTTCTACTATCTTCCAGGCTTCTCAACTATCTGCATTCCTTAGGACAAAACCAGATACTCAATAAATAGTTCATGACATTTGGTATATAATACTTGATATGTTGACAATGTTTGAAGACATGAAAATCCAAACTCAAAAATAAAGAATTCCTCATTTTAGGAAAAAAATCACTTCAGAGGTTCCTTTAAATAACTACCATAACACTTTTAAAAATGAGTGTATATAGGAATTCTAGGTATTGTAATAATAGTGTCAGAGAAATACACACACCAACTCTGTCACTATATTTTTAATACCCAGGATTCTCGCTCTGCCTAACTTCTCAGGTTGGTCTAACACATGCCTTACGACAAAGTGGCCACTAAGCTTGTTAGAATTCCACAGTACTATGCTTCCTAAAAGCTTACCATCCAATCATAGACAACATAACTTTAAATTTTAAGTTTACCCTCTCAGCC